TTTTTGGTATTTTCACACAAATTCTTCTGCTAGTTGGGGTTTAGTCCAAATCTGCATCCTTTCCTTCAAGGCTCAGGGGTCCAAAATTATCTTCTGTGTCTGTATTTATTGGTTTCCCTTTTCTTTGTTGAAGAGGGTGTGTGCAATCCTTCTGCCTAGTCCGCCATCTTGCCCCGCCTCCTACAACCCATATTTTGAGGGACACAACTGAATCCATCACAATGGTGATTGTGGATAACACTGCTATGAACAGCCCTGTGGGTACCTTTTGATGAACACACACACATTTCTCTTGCATTCCACTGTTGGGCCTTAGTCTCCTCAGATTTGATTCTGCATTGTTGAAATTTAAAAGCTTTGTGATTTCTCAGTAAATGGGAGTGTTTAGTGACATTTTGCTCATCTTTGTTCTTCAGGATCCCAAAGAAATGATAACTCTGATTGTGTGAATAGACCAACAGAAGGTGAGTTGACACTGGCCACTTTCAGGACCAAGAGTAAATCCTTGTAGCTGCAGGAGGTGGTGTGTGTGTGTGTGGGGGGCTTTAAAGAGCCCACAGAAAGAGACGCAGCCGCAGAAGCCATGAGCACTTTTGAAGACGCAAATGATTCATAGGAGAATCGTTATAATAAAGGTCTATATCAACCTTCGCACTTGGCAGAGAACTTTCACGTATTTCTTTTTTGTGTCTGGCTACACGGAAGGAGGAGTGTTAACACCCTCACATTATACAGATGAGCAAAAAGTACCTCAGAGTCCTGAAGTGTGTAGAATTTCACTCACAGCTATAGATAATCCTGTGACAGATCTGGCCTTGACTCAGGGTCTCCTGTGCCAAATCCAGTACTTTGTGTGCCACGCCAGCCTGCCTGCCAGAGGCAGTGCTTGCTCACCTTTGGGAGAGCGTCTGCACTTACTCGGCGGAAGTCTGTTAGGTGCACTTTATCAGGACAAGGATGGCACCCTCATTAACCCTCCCATGGTGTGAGGCTGACTTTGACCAGCACAGGGATGGTTCTTGGAGACATCCTCCCTCCCCCCATCTGCACAGCAGCTAGTTTGGTGGCTGTCAGTTTCCTTGCCTGTGCACATGCAATTGGTGATTTATGCACAATAGGGGGCACTCTCATTCAGTGTTAGTTGTAGCCCAGATGTGTCATTAGCCCACATCTGAAGGTGAAGAGCTGGTTTATAGCTGAGGGACATTGTGTAGCTGGTCAAGGACAGTCTCCAGCACTCAGAGGATCAGCTAGTCTTTATTATTTTATTACCTAGCTCACTTCAATCTCACCTCCACATAGGGCAGCAGTTTAAGCTTGTTAAATGTGCCTGACAGTGGCCAGTTATGTGAGGGAATCAGCCCCGGTGATGCTTCCTGGCCTGTGCTGGCCTGGGCTGCAGACAGCTACACTTGAGACCTCTAAGACTTGCTCTTCTGTCATCTGTTGTGCAAGGGTATCTTGCCGTGGCGGTCGTTAGGAAAGCAGATGCCGACCTCACCTGGAACACTCTGAGGGGCAGGAAGTCCTGCCACACTGCTGTGGGCAGGACCGCGGGCTGGAACATCCCCATGGGCCTGCTCTTCAACCAGACGGGTTCCTGCAACTTTGGTAAGGAGTCCCAGAGGGGGCTGAGGGGGAACCATCCTAGGAAATAGATACAGCCATGCTGTGAACCTCTGAGCACTCAGGGTACATTTGTAATTCAGGGAAGGGAAGGTGGAGTGGGGAATTCACAGATTAATAGTGACCTGAAGGCAAGTTCTCCTGGAGTCTTGGGTGCACATCACTTCCTACCGCCCATTTGTTCACCTCAGGATAAAAAACTGAAATACCAGCCTATTTCTCTGCACCCTGAAAGGTCTTTGAGTGGTGCAAATGATTTGCACAGTGAAGAAAGACCTGGAGATCTGCTTCCATAAAACCAAGAAAACCTTATGGAGCAAATTTACTCTGTAACATGGGGTCACTATGAGTCAGAATTGACTTGATGACAGTGAGTTTGGTTTTTGGGTTTGGTTCTCTGTAAACCTAAGACTGAATGCAGCTACTAAGAAGTAGGAAAAAAAAATTATTTTTAAGCTCTTGGAGCTTCAGATCTAAATTCCTCATGGACCTTTTTTTTTTGAAAAGGCACCTGCCTGCCTTAAGATTGACTTCTATTTCTAATCAGAACTGACTCTACTTCACACTGTAAAGGAACCCTGGTAAGACTTCAAGGGTTTTGTCTCAACCTGCTTGCTTGTAGGGCCCTTATTCTCTGCCACACACTGCATGCCCACCTCACCTCCATCATCTGTTAAGTAAAGGCTGCTCATGTTGTTCACATAGAAGAGCTGACATCTCATGTTCCTTCTGTACAGGTGAATTCTTTCGTCAAAGCTGTGCCCCTGGGGCTGATCCCACATCCAATCTCTGTGCTCTGTGTATCGGTGATGAGAAGGGCCAGAACAAATGTGTGTCCAATAGCAAGGAGAGATACTACGGCTACACGGGGGCTTTCAGGTGCGTGTGCAACCCATCTGCATCAGAATGTGTCTTGTCCACCACCATCTTGACACTGCATTTCTAAGGGGCAGACATGACCTGTCCAGCAGAGCCAGGGGTGGGCCAGAGCTAACAGGTGGTATGGTGAGGGCTCCCTCCACCAGACTCACCACCACTGAGTGGAAACTGTCATGGTCTGTCTGACCTCAGTTCTGCCTCTCTGCGACCTTGAGCCAAAGTCCACCTCAGTGGGCCTCAGCATCTCATCTTGAACATCAAGTGAATAGAGAGTGAGGGATCTCAAGTCCTTTCTACAGTTTACTTTTATGGGGAACATTTTCTTTCTATAGCCACCCTCTCTTCCCAGGCCATCTTTACTTCCTACATTTTCACTTTTGTTTTGGCCTTAGAATTGGCAAAGAGGAAGCAGTATTACAATGTTTTTCCTCAATAATTAAATGAAAAAATAAAAAATTTTTTTAATTCACCAGTGATAACCACTTAGTGATTTATAGTAACTATCCACAATCCTGGGATCTCTGGTGGCTTAATGCCTAAGGCATTTGACTGCTAACCAGAAGGCTGGCAGTTCAAACCCACCAGCCACTCCTCGGAAAGAAGATTGGACAATCTACTATCTGTCGTGATACTGCCTTGGAAACCCAAGGAGGGGTAGCTATGAGTTGGATCTGACTTGACGGCAGTGAGTTTGCTTTTTTGTTTTTTTGATCCACAGTCCCATTTTACAATTCCATTTATCCACGTGTTCCTTCCAGGAGTATATTTAGGGGTTTGAAGGGAGTAAAGTGAATCCTCCCCTATGTCTTTTCCTCCATACTCCAAGAATATATATACCACTAACCAAAAAAAAAAAAAAACAAAAACAAAAACAAAAAACAAAGCCCCCTGTCATTGAGTCGATTCCAACTCATAGCAACCCCCGTTAGGTTTCCGAGGTAGTAAATCTTTACAAAGGTAGATTGCCCAGTCTTCCTTCCATGGAGTGGCTGGTGGGTTTGAACCACCAGCTTCCTGGTTAGCAGTCAGATGCCTTAGGCACTGCCCTACCAGGGCTTCTTATACCACTAAACCAAAAGAACAAACTCACTGCCATTGAGTCAATTCGACTCTTAGCGACCCCTCCTTGGTTTTCTGAGGCAATATCTCTATGGAAGTAGATTGCGCAATCTTCCTTCTGAGGAGTGGCTGGTGGGTTTGAACTTCCAAGCTTCTGGTTAGCAGTCAAATGCCTTAGGCACTATGCCACCAGAGCTCAGGTTCAAACTTCTCGGTGGGCAAACCTTCATTCTTCTGCCAGGGTCAGGGAGAAGCAACTTCCCAGCTGCATGGGGTATGAGGGTACTTAAACTGAATCTTATATAGGCTTTATTTAATTCTTGTGTTCTTAGCTACTTTCAGTAGTACGTAGTATCTCTAATTGCTTTAGCCTTTCTGGGATTCCACAGTGCACATCAGCTTTCTTCTGGGTTTTCCCCACTTCTAACTTAGCTTTACAGCTTTCTTTGCTCTGCTAGGTCATTCTAAATGTTATCGTTATTATCTCTTCTCCATTCTTTCTGTCTTTAATAGGCTATGGCTGTTTTTTTTTTTTAAGTCATTGCTGTTATTGTATTGGGATTTTAGAAACAGAGAGTATACACCTATGTGTTCCACCTGCCATTTTAAACTAGAAGTTCCTGGAAATATTTGCCTTTATCTTTTACATGTTTACTTCCATCCCCCCTTTTTTTAGTTTTGGGGATGTATACTGCAAATATTTATGAAAACTCTAATCTTCTCTTCTCTGGCTGATGTGTTTATTTTCTGGAACATTTTAGGTGCCTGGCTGAGAAGGCTGGAGAAGTTGCATTTGTGAAAGACATCACTGTCTTGGAGAACACTAATGGTATGTAAAGTTGTTTTCATTTCTCCTTCAGAACAGAGTCTTTGGTATCACAATACGTCCTGGTATTCAGATTTGTAATTGAAAAGGTATTATAAACTTTTCCAGGGTTTTGATTAAGTTAAAAAATTCTTTGCTTTGGTAGACAACATGGTAACATGGTAAATCACATTGATTTTTAAACCAAATTCACATGCACACACACACACACTCTCTCTCTCTCTCACACACACACACACAAAGACACTAACCATATTCAGTAGTAGCAAGTGTCTCCCTGGCTTTGTCTAGTCAACAGCCACAGAAACACACTCTGTCTGCCCCAGATCGTGCATACCTATTGAAAACTGAGCATGGATGCTACTAAAACTGAACATCTACAAATAAAGTTTCTCTTTTTCAAAAAGGAGCCAGGAGCCTTCATTCAGCCACATGTGAGCTTTGGTCTGGAAACTCTTTGGGAGTTGTTGTTAGGTGCCATCTAGTTGGCTCCATTCATAGCAACCCTATGCCCATAGAATGCAACCCTGCTCGGTCCTGCATCACCTTCACAATCCTTGCTGTGTTTGAGCCCATTGTGGCAGCCACTCTTCCAATCCATCTTGTTGAGGAGGTCTTCCCTTTTTTTTGCTGACCCTCTACTTTACAAGCATGATAACCTTCTCCAGGGAATGGTCCCTTCTGACAATATGACCAAAGTAGGTGACACTAAGTCTGGCCATTTTTGCTCCTAAGGAGCATTCAACCTGCACTTCTTCCGGACAGATTTGTTGGTCTCTTCTGGCAGTCCATGGTACTTTCAGTGTTCTTTACCAGCATCACAATTCTTTGGTAGTTAGTGGAGACAAATAGGTACAGATGATGGAAGATAGTCTACTACCCAATGATTGAACAATTACTTTGTCTTTTGCTCTGTAGATAAAAAAATAATTACAAGATCAATGACTTTTTGGCTGTTTGCTGCCTTCCAAATTGTACCTCTCTTCTCAGCCTCCCACCTCTCATCCTTGGCAAATGATTTGTCGTTTTATTCCTCAAGAAAAAACAACCTCAACTTTCTGCCTCCAACCTTTAAAGATACCTATTGTCACAGCACCTCATCCCTCCTGCCTCTTGCCTCATGAGCTCATGTCTCTTGGGAGAAGGATTAAGGCAAAATGTGTAAATTTGGAATGATCTCAGTATCAAAGTCAAGAAAATGGATGAAGTGTCTTTTAAAGGGGAGTTGCAGTAAGACAAGCAGGGACTTAACCATGAACTTTTATTTGCACACACTTAGACATGCATATAATTACATTTAGAATTTATGAACCACTAAACCTAAGATCTAGAACACTGGTGTGGTTTTCAAAATAATATGCAAAGATCAGATTGATGTCAAATTTATGTTTAGGGTTTTCTGGTGTGCTAAAATTATATTTTATTGGAATTGACTAAATATAATTGATAAACCCCTAGAAGTTCCTATCCTTTCTCTGGTTGCATTAAGAGTATTTGAATACAAAAAGGAAAGAGAAAAAAGTTTCCTCTTGAACATAAACCAACTATTCTTTTTCTGGAACTCACAGGAAAATATGACATAGATGGAGGATTTGGAAAGGCATTAAATCATTCTTTTTTTTTTTTTTTTTTTTTAAAAAGAAATTAACAGGTTTATTGAGATACAATTCACATGCCATAAAATTTACTCCTTCAAAGGATACAATTTAATGGCTTCCAGCACATTCACAGATCCAAATTTAGAACACTCTCATCCCCCCCAAAAGACCTATTGACAGTCACCCTCCATTCCCTAGCCCAGACAGTCATTACCTTTGTCCTCATAGATTTGCCTGTTCTGGACATTTCAGATAAATGGAATCATACAATATATGGCCTTTGTGTCCAGCTTCTTGCATTTAGCATGTTTTTAAGGTTCATCCATGTTGTAGCATGTGGTGGTATTTCGCTCTTTTTTATTGCCAAATAATGTTCTATTATATGGATATACCACTGATTTTTTAAAAAAACTTTATTTTATGTTTTGTTGTTGCGAATCTACACAGTACAACATATACCCATTCAACAGCCTCTACACGTACAATTCAGTGATACTGATTACATTCTTCAAGCTGTGTAATCATTCTCACCCTCCTTTTCTGAGTTGTTTCTTCCCAGTTAATATAAACTCACTGCCCCTTTAGTGTCCTATCTAACCTTTCAAGTTGCTGTTGTCAATTTGATCCCACATACACAATTCTTAAAAGAGCACAATGCTCAAGGCAGACATTAATTACTAGTTAAGCTAAACTATTATTTAATTTTAAGAAGACTTCTAGGTATATATTTGGTTTAAGGCTTGCAGATTATCTCAGAACAATAGTTTCAGGGGTTCTTCCAGGTTCTATGGCTCCAGAAAATCTGGATTCCATGAGAATTTTGAATTCAACATCTTCCTTTTGATCAGGATTCATCTACAGAATCTTTTATCAAAATGTCCAGTAATGGTAGCCAGGGACCATCCATTTCTTGTGGTCTTATGGCAAAGAAGGCAGTTGTTCGTGGAGGCAATTGGCTACACATTCCATTTCTTCTTTCTATTCCTGACTCCTTTTTTCTCTGTTGCTCCAGATAAATAGAGACCAATTGCAGTACTTTGGATGGCTGCTTGCAAGCTTTTAAGAGCTCAGACACTACACAATGAGATAGAGGTAGAACAGAAGCACTAAACATGATATTAGACCTATTTGCAGTGATGGCCCATGAAACCATAACCCTTATCCTCCAAACTAAGAAGCCAAATCCAATGAGGTGTTTGGTTGTACATAAGAAGCCTCAGTAGCTGTCCATTTTTGTGTGTTGTTGTAAATATATCTATCACACTTTTGCCAATTCAAATCTTTACAGGTATACAATTTATTGACAGCAATTACTTTAATTACCTGTGTAACCCTGACCCTTAATCAACATGATTTTTCTATCACCATAAACTGAAATGCAGATTTACCATCAAATTTTGATATATTTGAAGTTTGCATAGTTTATGCAGAACAAAGCCATGTTCTCTTTCCTTTCATATCATCCTGACCTCAGTGTGTGCATTTTGACAGGCAATGGATTGGTTACATCCAGCCAGAAATAACCTCTTGTCTAAGCTGGACACCTTCATTTTCTCCCTCAGGAAAGAACTCTGAAGCATGGGCTAAAGATCTGAAGCTGGAGGACTTTGAGTTGCTGTGCCTTGATGGCACCCGGAGGCCTGTGACAGAGGCTTGGAACTGCCACCTCTCCGTAGCCCCAAGTCATGGTGTGGTATCTAGGAAAGAAAAGGCAGCATACCTTGAAAAGGTGCTGCTCCAGCAACAGGTATGGACCATGAGGACCTCCAGCTCTTTCTTATCTGTATAGGCTCCTGCCAGGTAGAGGAATCACAGAGGTAGGTGAACCAGCCTATCTCAAGTCTTTCTGTCTAGTTCCCGTGTTTGAAGCTGGTGGTGACAGTATTTGCTTCAGGCTCTGGAACCATCCAGAGACTGAATGAGGACAGCAGAGGCTTGTGACACTGGGCTATCTGTGACTGACTTAGTTTTTGCCCTGAGTGTCTGTGTCCTTGGACTGTTGCACTTACTACCTGGCTTGGGTAGTAAATTCTTTCTTTCCTTTCTTTTGCTCTTCAGGAAAATGAAAAAGGCAACTGAGGCTGTCTCTCTTAAGTGTCTACACTTAGGTAGAGGGTGGTTGACTCTGGTGATATCTACAGAACACTGTACCTCTTGAGTAGTGTTCCAGACACTATGAAACAAACAAGGCTACTGCTGCACTTGGAATCTCTAAAAACAAGATTTAGGGCTACTTATGGGAGTGCGTCAGGGTTGTATTCTTTCTCCACACTTATTCAATCTATATGCTGAGCAAATAATCCGAGAAGCTGGACTATATGAAGAAAAACGTGG